AGAGTGCATACACTGGTAATATTTGGGGAATACAGGACTGTTATGGTCTTTTCCCTTAAAACGCATGCACCTTTAATTGCTTGGGAATACTCTCACGACAGAGTTTGTTAAGTTACCTTAGTAATTAACCTAAAATTTAATTGGACTTTAATATTTGTAACCCACAGAAGACAATCCGCAAATGTGTACTATGATTGACAAATATTTCACTATTCACAAATGTGTATTTTTATTTGTGTTATGTAAAATCATATCCACAAAAATACAGAGTAATGTGTACACACAAAACAGTTTTTACACATTTGTAAATTACATTTGTAAGTTCCTTTTTACACATTTGTTGAATCATTTCCAATGTGTACTGCAGAGATCTGTAAAAAAAATACAAATATCCTGGTTTTCTTTATTGAGACTTTGCAGATATTTATTTAACACAGAAACCAGGTCTGATGGCAGCATGGAGGTCCAGAGAAGAACAGTCACAGATCCTGGATTCACTTGTGACGTCTGAAACTGTTTCAAACACGTATTAAACTGCAGGCTGCACAACTTTGATAAGTAAAGATCCCATACAGACGTGTTTTAGGACATAATATCTAATTTAAAGTTCAATGAGCTTGGTAAATGTTAAAACTACACCTACTAGGTACTGAACTTGGTATAGGTTTGGCCACTATGTTCACCTGGGAAGAAAGTTATTCACATTACAAGATACAAACATTTGACCAACAAGTAGCCTGTCTGAACACTGAGTTTTCAAGGTGCTGTGGCTGCACCCTCACAAACACCTGAGAAACCAATCATAGAAATATACAAACGTACAAGGCTAGACACAAAAAGCTATTAGAGAATAAGATATACAGAGTTTGCTCTAATGTTAAATTATTTTATTTTTCAAGCATCAGTCATATCAAATTTATTATTGCATTTAACTTTCTCTTAGTCAGCAGCGTCCATGAGACCTCAAAAAGCAAAAATAAAACAAGAACGATGGAGCGGCTGCTTCAAGAGAACAGCCAGGCTTCATCACCCAAAACAATAAGCTCATAATCTGATTTACTGCCAAGTAGATTTTAACTTTAAAACTTTTTAAAGATTTTTGCTTTGGAACTATAGAAAATAAAAGCACATTAAAAGCAAGTACTATAACCACAGCTGTACACAAACCACAATTGCAGTGGATAATTACATTTTGACAACAAAGTAAAACAAAAACAACAAACAAGGTTCAGAAATAAAATGGAGACGTAAGAGTAAAAAATCCATACAGAATCCAGTAATAAAACAATCTTTGTGAAACTTTTTACATCTTTGTTGATACGACCTATTTAACTGGCATTTAGCAAGTAACCTCCGTGTGGCCCAGCATACAGATACATGATAGGAGACGAGATTAAAACGTGACTATTTCTCATCAGGAGAAAAAGTCTCACATTTTTTTTTTCACCATTAAAGTTTTGTAACTTTTTATAGCAGTTTGCATTTTTTTGTATACAATTGTAAATCTGATTCTGTAAAATCAGTGAGAACCCAACTGTTTTATGTATTTAGTCAATAACAAATTACATCTGTCTCATTTTGAACAGAAGAATTACTGTGTGTACATCTGCTTTTTAAATTACATTCAAATGTAAAATCACTGATTATCTATAAATAAATATGTGGCTCATTATATGAAAGGATTATGTCCTATTAAATACAAATAAATAACATTTCTCTTCTGTCTTTTCAAACAAATCATCTTTTATAGTTGCCATTGTGAACTCATAACCTGCAGAAATGTTGGTCATTTCGATTAAAAAACATTTTCCCTGCTGTAAAATGTACATTTAAGTTAGAGAAGTGCTCTAGTGATTGTCTGTCATGATGAAAAACAATGAAACCCCTCCCTTTAATCCTGACTGGACTGGCAAGTACTTTTTATTTTCAATTTTGTAAACATTAATTTCCATTAGTTAATGTGTCATTTCAAAAAGTTTCAAAACGGTTTTAAATAGGCAGCTGAAAATGTTTGGCCCATGTACATTTCCTGGATTTAAAATCTGGACCAATTGAATAACGCTGCTATTGTAACGTTGTTGAGCTGCTTTATGTAAAAATGTATTTGGTCAAAACCCCTCTGTGTAACCAAAAACTGACCATAACACGTTTCAAAGATCTGTTAGATTACATATTTACAATTTACAGTATATACAGCATGTATTAAAAAAACAGCATTGGACTAATCTACATGATTCAGTACATTCACACACACCTTTACACCTCCTCTGAAGGAGCTCTACAAAAACCGTTTTCCTGGGCACGAGAACCTGCAGAAAAGAAAAGTAGACATTACATAAAGTCAACTTTTATATAATACACACAAATGATTAGTCAATCACAGCTGGGAGACACAGAGCCGACAGTTTATGGATCTCCACCTGCAGAATATAAACTACACACAGAAAGTAAGAACATTTGTGTTTGGAGTGTTTCTTTGATGTAATAATGCTTCTTGGCAGTAAATCTTACAGCAGTGGAAAACCTGTTTATGTCCTTTTTAAATGGTGTAACTCACACACTCCGCTCTGCTGCTCATCACACAAATGCACGTTTCTTACAAATGAAATAATTGTACTTGCATCCTTTTTATTCATAGATTATGATTAAGTCATGTATAACATTCAACCTGCAACTATTGTTGGAGCTGGAACCAGAGAAGGTTTTGGCGAAAGGACAAATCTGACCTCAGAGTAAGAAAACTTGGTAGCACGTTACATTATAGGTTGGTAATAACTTGGGAATATTTTTATTTTAAAGATAACTAAGTAATAGCTTGGTATTAACAATGGGTGTATCTAGGGCTGGAAGATTAGACCTAAAATCACAATTAAATATTTTACCTCGATTACGATTAATGAACCTTTGTTTTGTTTGTCCTCATAGTTCACTGACCAGGTTTGTGCTGTCGATATGCTCTATTAAATACTATTAATATTAAATATATCAAATATGACATTCATGAATTACCTTTAATAGTATAAATTGATACGTAATGTTGACGGAAGTCGGGAGTGCAGCGGCGGAGACTCTGTGGTGCTACGACAAAGAATGTCCCCCCTGTATTTGGTGCTACTAACATTTTATGATTAATATCAATGTGCAACTAATGATTTTCACCTGCACACTGAGCAAGCAGGGTAACACTCAACGCTCTGCTGGCTGCCTCTCCTCATTCATCAAAGGACGTCTACATGACAGGTGCTGCTGTAAGAGCAGGAAGTTGTCAGGTTACAGCTCCGTCCTGTACACATACTGAACATCCTACTGAAATTATATCTGTTTTCTGGTTGGTCAGTAAAAGGATGGACATTTAACATCTATTCTGGGCTTCAGACTCCGGTCAAGAAGCTGAGCAGGACTGGATGGGGTGAAGTCACATGACTACACATGCTGTAGTATGTTGTTAAGAGGAAAGAACATAAACACATACTGTGGGGAAATAATAGGATTTAAAAAATCTTAACAAGGGAAAATTACGTCTGTTAGAGGTTCTGAATATCAGTTTTGATTAATTTTCAGTTACTCATCCAGACCCCAATTTATCTGAGTGGTTTTAGACTAAAATGTATGTAACAGGGTAATGATGGTCACAAACAAAGAGTAATAACAGGGAAACAGATTTAAAGATTGCAACAAAGCAAAACTTATTTAGTATTATATGCTGATGGAAATGTGGTACCTATATCAGCAATATTTGGATTAAAATTGGTAATATGTTGACAATAATGGGACAATAACCTGTTAATGAGGTAATACAGGTTGATGTTTTAGGCTACTTTCAGCGTAATACCTTCAAAATCACGTAAAATTTATTGGAAGTAACTCCCTAATTACTAAATTATGTTGTAACCTCCTTTATCTTCCAAACTTTTAACACGGGGGCCATAAAGAAACATTTAGAAAATAAATTTTAAGAGCCAACTTAACAACAAAGTACCCAGATATACTCATTGTTAATACCAAGCTATTACCTGGTTATTACCTGGTATTACTTAATCATTACCTTTTTATTAAGTGCTACTGAAAACTTCTCAAGCAGCCAAAAATAAATTAAATTCTGCCATTTGTGAATATTTCAGTCACAAAGCAGCACAAGTGAGCGAGTTTTGTCTCAGAGCTGATGTTTCAACTTTTTCAGGTGTGTTCAATCATTTTAAGAATCAGGACATAACAGCTCAGTTTGTTTTTACAAATCCACTTCAGGAGATAATCAGATCATTTAAATGGTGGTCAGTATCAGCAGACAGGCAGAATCTTCAGGACTTTTACTTTCAAATGTTTCCAGAGACAAAATGGAAAAACAAGAAGTGAATGATATAAACTTAGACTAATAAATAATTTTAAATTATTATTTTGATTGTGTGATATTTTAGTAATTGTTGAGTTTTTAATCTCACATTTGATACTGATTTTTTTATTTTATTTAAATGAAATAATTAATTAATTTATTGTCTATTAATATACACTAATTTACAGTTTTATCCATTTTATTAAATTTTTTTAGTATATTATAATAACACACTTTATTTATTTTAATATTACTTATTGTTTTACTTATTTACTTTTTTTTAATATTTATTTTTACAGAATGTTTATATTATATATTTTTATTGTTATTATTTTACTTGGTATTAACACACACAAACACAACTTTTGCTGTTTTATTTCCTTATATAATATATATGAAATTAATTGACCTTATGTGCTTTATATGCAGCTTTGGTAATATTGTTGCTACACATTCATGCCAATAAACCTAATTTGAATTATATATTCAAACATTTCTTAAAGAAACTGTCAAAAACATCCATTTAATGGACAGTTACGTATTTAAAGCTTGCTATATATTTTTTTAACAATCACAATGTGAACCAGAGGCCTCATAAATAAATAAAGGAAGCTTAGTGGATTATTTTTTTTTTTTATGTACAAAACGTAAGGGACGCCCGGTAACTCACCTGGTGGAGCCTGCAGGTTTGATTCCTCCCCTCTTTTGTTTTTCTTCCTGTTTTTCTGTTTAGCTGCTCCTGTCCAATAAAAGCAAATCAATCAATTTAATAAAAAAGAAAATTGAAGAACATTGTGACATGAGATGGTTTTTTAAGTATCTGTTATGTTGATAGAATCCATTATATAAACTGACCTTTATTACAGCGTACTGTGATGATCTTTGTAGCTACAAGAAAACCTTGAACTGCAGCAAGAATTACAGCTCCCAAAAAAATTCCACCCAACCATCCTGTGACGTCCCCTCTGCTGCACGTGTCCTCAAACAGTTTCTCTGAAACACACAACAAAACCTAGAGTCACACTCAGAATGTAAACTGTATATCATGTACAGCACGCTGGTTATTACCTACACAGAACTACTACTGAGGCGGCCATGCTGCTAAAGTCTATGAACATTAAAATAACACTATATGAACATCAACAACTATTTTCAGATAAAACTACTAAAATGAATCTCACCTGGCAAAGTGATGTTATTACTGATCATATGACCGATGTCGTCCTGCTGGACTACACAGTGGAACTGGTTGGTTTTGGTCTTGGTCACAGTGGTTTGGAGGGTGATGTAGAAGTGACCTTCTCTTTCTGAGACCTGTGGCTCCTCAGCAGGAAGTTTGTTTCCAGCACTGTCCTGCCACTCTACTGTAGGTTTAGGAAAAGCACCTCTAACTTCACACTGCAGCAGGACCCCAAACTCTGTGACATCAACTATCGTGATGGACGGCTCTGCAGCTGCACCTGTGAACACAATAATAAGAAAATCATGTAAACAGAACACTACAAATGTAGTTTCCATTCAAATATAAAACTCAGGGTTTCAAACTTAAAGACAGATCAGGAGAAACTAAGTGACTCTTGACTGACGTCACTGATCTCTACATCTGCAGCGTGTGTGCTACAACTTAGTGACCTTAGAGCTGGGTAATATTCAAGACGTTTGACAGAACACGTTAACGCAGACATTGTCCTTTATCATAATGAACCAAGCCAACACAACACCTTCAACATCAGCTTCCACTGATCAGTCTGACAGTGTTGCTGGTGGCTACAGGTAGTTTACCTACAAGTGCCTCTGAGAAAACAGCAGCAGGTGTGTGTTTGTGTCTCTAAAGCAGCCAATAAACAAAGCAGATGTAGAGATCAGGAACATCCAAATGTGCAGAACCTGCTGTGATGGTTAGTCAACATGAAGGTCCTGCGTCAAACGTTTAAATGATACTGAGGCCCAGAGAGTTGTAGCACACATGTACAGATCAGTGACGCACCTGTGATTTCGTTTAAACGGTTTCTGAAGGTGAGATCTGAAAGAGAATATCAACAGAATTAGAACATTAATTACTGCACAGTGCAGGGTGATGTTATGAACTAGTCATGTGTTATTAGACTAGTAATTTTAAATAAACAGCCATTTGTGAATATTAGGGGTGTAACGATACACCAAATCCACAGTTCCCCTTCGAGGGAACTCAAACTGCGTCGGTGACGACACTATGGGAACGCCCCTGGGCGTGGCAGGGCTGAACTATGAATGAAACTACTCCAATCCTATTGGTGTTACTAGAACGGTAGTGTGTGACGGCGTAACTGGAGGGGGTATATAAGCACGCTGGCACATAGGACACTTCTTTCTATTCAGCAGGCACTCTGGCTATGTTTGGAAGCTCCATTTTCCTACCTGACATTGAGACAAAGCAGCAGAAGATCATGTCAAAGCGATTCCTACAGTGTGTCTTCCCTTGTGAGCGTTTCATCACGGATACCCATAGGATGTGCGTCTCATGCCTGGGGATGTCGCATGCTCAGGCGGCTCTCGAGGGGGCTGCCTGCGACCATTGCGAGGCCCTGCCCCTGAGGAAGAGCGGCTCTCTTCCTAGAGGATGGTCGGATGCGCTCCCCTCGTGGCACAGGCCCCGCGGTCGCTGAGGCGTCGCGGCAGCTCCGATCCTGGGGATCACAACGCGAGATCGCCGAGGGTGCCGGAACGGCTGAGGCCTTTTTCCGGTCCTCGTCCGCGGAATCCTCCTCCCCTCGTCGGGAGCCCGTTTCACAGTTTCTCCCACTCGAGGGGCGAGTCCGGAAAGGCTGACACAATCTGGCTCTGAGGAGCTAGCTGTCCACCTGTCTCCCGCACGCATCGAGTCCATTTTATCCTCAGTGACCAGAGTGCAGTTAGGCCGCGGCATCACTGTGAAACACTTTCAGAGGGTGTTGGGTCTTCTGGCAGCAGCGTCCAGTATAATACCTTCCGGACTACTGCACATGAGAGCCCTGCAGTGGTGGCTAAAATCCAAGGGATTCTCCCCGAGGGGAAATCCGCTCCGTCTGATACGGGTTACGAGTGGATGCCTTCGTTCCCTGTCCGTATGGAGGAAGCCTTGGTTCCTGTCCCAAGGTCTGTGTTGGGAGCAATCTGTCGCCGAACAATTATTTCAACAGACGCCTCACGCACGGGATGGAGCGCGGTCATGGACGACCGCTTCGCGAGAGGCTCCTGGGAGGAGCATCATTTCTCTTGGCACATAAATTGCCTGGAAATGTTGGGGGTTTTCAGAGCTCTGAGGAGTTTTCTGCCCGCTCTCCGCAGTCGCCACGTCCTTGTCAGGACCGACAATACGGCGGTGGCGGCCTATTTTAATCACCAGGGGGGTCTGCACTCGCGCCCATTATGCAAACTGACACATCGGATCCTCCTGTGGTCCCAGGAGAGACTGCTGTCCCTCAGAGCGATGTACATCCCTGGGACCCAGAATCAAGGAGCAGACCTGCTGTCGAGACAGGGGTTGAGGCCCGGGGAATGGAGACTCCACCCCGAGGTGGTGGAGTTATTATGCGAAGATTTCGGCCCCATAGACGCGGACTTGTTTGCGTCCCGAGAGACGGCACACTGTCCCCTGTGGTTCTCCCTATCACCCCGAGTAGCCGAGGCTGCGTCTGTATGCGTTTCCCCCAGTCGCTCTGCTCCCGGCGGTTCTGGAGCAGGTCCGCCAGGACGGCATCAGCCTACTACTAGTAGCCCCGTTTTGGCCGGCACGAGTGTGGTTCTCGGATTTAATATCGCTCCTCGAGGGCCCGCCCTGGCAGGTCCCTCTGAGGAGAGACCTGCTGTCCCAGGCGGAGGGCCAGATCTTTCACCCTTGCCCCGCCCTGTGGCAGCTATGGGTCTGGCCCCTGAGGAGGCGCAGTTCTTAGAGGCGGGTCTGACGACAGGAGCAGTCGAAACGCTGCTCAGCTCCAGAGCCCCGTCCACGAGAAGGATGTACAGCCTAAAGTGGAATGTGTTCACCACCTGGTGCAGATAAGGGGCGGTGGACCCAGTTAACTGCTCGGTAATTGTGATACTCGAGTTCTCAGCACCGTTTCTCCTTTGGCCTCTCCCCGTCCACGCTCAAAGTATATGTGGCTGCCATTGCAGCATTCCACGCCCCTCTGAGTGATGGGCCTTTGGGGAGGCTTCCGCTGGTCATGCGCTTCCTCCGTGGAGCCCAGAGGATGAGACCCGTGACTCGTTCCAGGGTTCCCACCTGGGACCTGGCAGTGGTTCTCGAAGCGCTGGCTGAGGCCCCCTTCGAACCCCTGGAGTCGGCTGAGGCCAAGCACCTGACCCTTAAAATGACCTTTCTCCTCGCTATCACCTCTCTGAGGAGGGTGGGGGATCTCCAGGCACTGTCGGTGTCTCCCCCATGCCTGGAGTTTGCCCCGGGGAGGGTCAGGGCCATCCTGCACCCTTGTCCAGGTTATGTCCTTAAGGTTCCGGCCAGACTGGCAGGGTCCACGGTGCTGCAGGCGTTTCATCCCCCACCTCATGTGACGGCGGAGGACGGGAGACTTCATCTGCTCTGCCCTGTCAGAGCACTGAGTATTTACACTCTGAGGTCTTCCCGGTGGAGGAAGGCAGACCAGTTGCTGGTGTGTTTCGGGTCCCCCAAGGCTGGGCTACCCGCTTCTAAACACACCATTAGCAACTGGATCGTTCAGACCATTTCCCTGGCCTATCAGGTGCGCGGTTTGCCTTCACCTATGGCTGTAAGGGCGTACTCTACTCGAGGCATGGCGGCTTCTAGGGCCCTCCTCGCAGGGGCGTCACTCCAGGATTTGTGTGATGCGGCTGGCTGGGCCACCCCTCACACTTTTATCCGGTTTTACAGTCTGGACCTGCCTTCTGCACCCGGCACCCGTGCTCTCTCCTCCTAGTTGTGCCGTCAGGTTCTGCACGCTGGGGGCAGGCGGGGTTTCGATGCGGCCTAAGTGGGTATCTCGTTCCCATAGTGTCGTCACCAACGCAGTTCGAGTTCCCTCGAAGGGGAACGTCTCGAGTTACGTATGTAACCCTTGTTCCCCGAGAAGGGGAACGAGACACTGCGTCGGTCCACCACACCTCACCCCGCCTGGAGTGCCCTGCTTCATAGAAAGGGCTAATGTGTCCTATGTGCCGGCGTGCTTATATACCCCCTCCGGTTACGCCGTCACACACTACCGTTCTAGTAACACCAATAGGATTGGAGTAGTTTCATTCATAGTTCAGCCCTGCCACGCCCAGGGGCGTTCCCATAGTGTCGTCACCCACGCAGTGTCTCGTTCCCCTTCTCGGGGAACAAGGGTTACATACGTAACCCGAGACGTTCGGTTCATATCAAGGTGCAGACTAGGTGTGTGTGAGTGTGGGGAGAAGAGCAGAGGAGCAGATTAAAGTAAATCAACACTAAACTAAGGTGGAAAATTACCTACTGTTAATACAAATAGCCCACAATATACACCGCTACAGAGCCCACCCTCCACCGGCCGCCGCCACCCACAGTTGCATTGTGTTCAGCAGTCTGCGGAGCGGTGGTGTCGTGGTTCTGTTTCTCGGATCCGCGACACGAGACCGTGGACTTTAGGTGTCGCGATTTCAGTCAAGACCAAAACTTTGGGAATATCAATAAATTGTTTTTGCATTGTCTGATTTATTTGTTAATAATTTATTCAAAATAATTCCAGAATTAAATCAACATTTTATTTAATCTGAAAACAAATCATTTATTTTGATTTAGAATACATGATAAAGATAAAAACCTAAATGTTCAATTACAACATTTAGTTTTTTGTCAAATTAACAAAACATTTGGGTGAGGATGAATTAGAGTTTATGTAAATGTAATCATATGCATTTTGTTGAAGAAAACTCAAAAGTAGTTAAAGTAGAGCACTGAACAGAAGCAGTTAAGTCACCTGAGATCAGATGCAGAGCAGTCAGAAGAAGCAGAGGCTCAGTTCTGACATGATGTGGAGACAAAGATCAGGCAGGCCAAGGAGAGGTAAAGCAGGAAGAGGACAACTAGCATGTCTGATTATAGTTTCTTATGAGGAAAGAAAAGAACAAGTAGAGGTAAAGGAAGAAAAGGGGGAGAAGGAGAAAAAGGTGTCAGGTAAATGTCAAGAGCATCACTGAAAGTACAGGAGGATGAAACGACAGCTGGAGATCTGGACGAACAATATAGATTAACTGTATGTAGTTTCTATGGCTCTAGGAATAATTAGTTCATCCAGTGTTTAAAGTGCATAAAACAGCTCTGCCAGCCTGCTCAGCATTACTGGAGCTTCACAACTACGAAAGGATTTGAACTGGTTTTCTGCCACCGGACTCCTGAGAGGGAAAGCAGGCAGTGGACCAAACCACTGTGAGGCACGAGAGGGGGGACTCAAAATGTTTCTGAACTTAAAAAGCACTTTTACTGCCCTGTTTGCGTTTTTATTGTTTTACCATTTACACAATTATTATAAGTATATATGTAGCCCGTCAGACTGAACGAGATGTTTATACCGGCCTTGATGCAAGGCAGGAGCAGCCAGCTACTTTAGCACGGCTCTACTGTTGTTTGCTTCGTAACGTTCAGTTTAGATTTTTAGTAATTTTACTGATACTCAGGTGAAAGTGTCTCCTGGTGTTTTGCTCTTTCTGTGTCGGAGTTTGCTCGCTCTTGAGTTTGAGCACACGCCTGGTTGCACTCTAAAAACTGCACCGCTAGTGGTCGCTGAAAACTACATAATGCCCCTTTAATGAAAACACTCACCAACAACAAGCTGAATGTTGAATATCTGTCTTGGCTGAAGACGTGGAAAATCACAGGTGTAGTCTCCTCTGTCGGTCACCTTCGTATTTCTGATGATGATGGAGGCGTTGCCGTACTTCAGCTCATCTTGAAAATGTGAGACGCGACCTTTGAACTGCTGATCTTGACCTATACGGCCGTTGTTGTAATGAAGGCCTCCATCATAAAAGAAAATCTCCTTCCGACCATCTTTCTTCCAGTCAAAGAGTTTCTCCTCAGCGTTCTCCTTGGTGCTGAGGGAACAGGGTAAAATGGCGTCACTCCCTTCTTTCACAACCACTCTGACGTCACCCGACCCTGAAAGAAGAAGTTTATTTTAGTTATTGTGTTCAAACAGAGATCAATCAGGTTCAGACAGAACATCAGATAACACATTTACATGTCACCTCAATGACTCTGAAACACCAGTTTATAAACACGTTAGTTAGTCGGCACATTATTTATGTATATATATATATTTTCATGTTGGCGTCATTTAAGAATATTTAAGCTGACATTAGACAGTAGGGCTGTTTCAGAAAGCAGGTTCATCAAACTCTGAGCTGATTGAGCCTGAGGTGGGAAACTCTGTTCCAGAAAAGTCGATCAGAATTAGTTCAGTCAACTCTGAGTATGTTGAAGATGGAAGTGCATGTGTAGGCATAAAAAAAAGCCACCGTCAATGGAGCTCCGATACTACGATTCACCATGGCAACAGGTAAATAAAGAGCCCCCATTTTAATTGCGTGGAGCTAGAAATATGAATGCGTGCCAACGCGGACCATGATAGGCTCTAAAATGCAGGAAGAGGGAATCAATAACTTCACAATATAACATTTTAAACACATTTTAATTTTACGCTACATTTGATTATTTTAAATCAGCTGTAACCAGATGGAACAAAATGCCCGTGGAAAAACCTAAAGATGAAAATATTAATCAAACAGATCAGAAGCAGTTTTCTCCATTACTTTGATGCTCTGTTAGAACAAATGCCTGGTTTTAAGAACAGGTGACAAACACCAAAACTGCAAAGTGTTGTTTTCTCTTAACTCTTCATACAAACAACAAATCAGAAAGTGTCTAAATGAAAAACTAATGAAAAGAAACAAAACCCCTTTTATTCAGTCAAAATTTAGCTCAGGGAAAACAAAACGCACACAAACTAACTTTGGATGGATGCACTTTTGTTTGGGCACAATGGATTTTTTTCATGAACTACAAATACTAGAAGAAAGATTCTTTTTTCCACAAAGGCTAAAAGTCAAACAAGTTCAAATAAAGTAACTTAGTGGTGATAAACAAAACATGAACATATGTTTTGTCATTTACATCAGGACATAGATTTCCATCCACATCACATTTAAATGTTGTCTTAAAGTCACCTCTTTCAAGAACACTTCCTCTGAGCCGCTAACATCCAGCCTGCACTTCTTCTTCATCTCTCTCCTTAACATGTGCTTGTCTTGACGGCACCATTTGTTAACTCCTATTGCTTCCCACAGGTATTTACCCCAGTGACACCGTAAGCTTTAATATCTCTTACTAACATCTAGTGTTGCTTGTAGATCTCTCTGACCTGATGCTTCTATGTTGTTCCTCAGATGTAAGTCGATTTGGATAAAGGCGTCTGCCACCTTAGATACAGTAGTTATTGATGACAAATCCAACCTCAGTAACTACAGTGATCTCTTTACAGATGAAGCCCATGATACTGAGTTTACTGGCCGTTACATTTGTGGTTGTATCAAACACCACATTGAATAAAATCACTTTGACTGGAGAGATATTTTCAGATTAGTTTGTAGTCACGTCTGACCTGCAGTGACCTTCACGTTTGGCCAAAGATACTGTACAATTACAATTTACAATATTTGGTAACTGTTCTCTCCTTTTGTAGCTAACCCGGCCAATGTGTCTGCAGCTGAGTTAATGATTTAAAATGTATGTAGTGATCACTGCTTCAGTGTATTTGCAGTCTTACAACACAGTTAGTTACCCCAATACAAAACTTCAGCTGCAGGGCTGTTGTGTCCATGAGCAAGTGATGTACATCTAAATAGCTTAAAATTTCCTCCACCAAGAAGATTTCACATCATTTGGGACCATTATTTTTACCATGTGTGTGAACAAATAGTTGGAAATGCAGCAGATAATAAATAAACAACAACAACCAGAAAGCATAAGGACTAAACTTGCTAAATAATTTGTCTGGGGAGGAACTATAACCAATAGATTTTGGAAAAGTTTTTTAGTTTCCATCCTCTCTCCACAGTGATTTTACATTCATGACACAGCACCCAAGCCATTTTGGGCCCCACGTCAAGCCTTTAACGGCAGGAAACCCCTGTTAATATGACCTCATAATCATTGTAGATAAGACAGTTCATGTGTGCCTTTTGTGTCTCAATGTAAAACTTCTTTAGCTTATCTGTAGAAATGAATATGAAAATAGGCAACATGAGAACCACCTCCCTTAATTACCAAGCATTTCATTTGCACAATAATCATAAAGAATCGTCTCCTCTTTAGTTTAAAATGACTAGTTTCTTTCTCATGTATGCATTTACATTTACTCATTTAGTTTCATGCAGTTTTGTCCAGAGTGACCAGAGCTCACACGCCTCTGGAGCAACTTCACGTTGTGTTTACTACGTCATCACGCACATAGAGCCAAAAACATAGCTGAGCAAAAAGAAGTCAAGGGGAGGGGCGAGTGAGTGAGGTTAGCTGCCACTAAGCGGCATCACTTTTTCGAGCTCTTTGGGAAACGACAGTCTTCTCTGACGTCACTTTCTGCCGCTCAGACAATCAAACACTTGGAGTCACGCAGCTCTAACAGCAGCTTTTCACTTACTGTATGTTCCGTATAGAACAAGGAGAGCAAGCGAGCAAAGCGTTTAAGTGAAAACATCAGCCGCTCCTGAATGAATCTGGGGGACACTGCTGTTGATTCCTGGCGTCAGTGGATTTCAGGAGTCACCTGGTTGTTCATAGAAGGAGCCGCACGACATAAACAGTCGCTACACAGAATGAAACGACGTCTGAAATGTAACTTCTTAAAACCACAACTCTGCAGTGGGAATGAAATAAATATTTAGTTCATGGAAACCTCTTGGTGGCCATTAAACAACAGTCGGCATGACAGCTCCCAAAATAATGAACATCTAATGAAGCAGTACCGGTGTCTGTCGCTTGACCAAATGTTGTGTTATCATTACCTTTAAAGTTACGCATTAGCTTTCTTACCGTTTGTATCCATGTGTCCAGGAGTTATTCCAGACACAGTCAGCAGGCAGAACCAGAAGAACAGAAGCTCCAGAGCTTTCAACTGCAACATGTTAGATAAATTACTTAAAACCAAAGTTACTGGACTTGTTAACTTGTTCTCAGCCCCTTCGCTCTTCAAGTGCGTTAACAGAGTGCTGAATGTGGACGTTGCGTTCAAGTGCTCCTTGTATGATCCCATTTCCCGTGTTGTGAAGTCGCTCTCGGTGGGTTCATGTGCTTTTACATGGTAAAGTGGAAACAACATGAACGCTGAACTTTCATTAACATTGTCGTCAAAGTGTGCTGAAAAAGTGCTAAAATGTTCTCTGCTTTTCCGAGTTGTTGTTCCGACTTCAGGCGGCCGTTAAATTAATTTTCTCTGTCGGGAAAAAACTTTTCCGATTATTCCCACATAACTTGAATCCGCCAAAACACGCCCTCTGACTTCTGCCATCTCTCGTCCACCAACCAATCCGCCACCTCCTCTCTCCTCGCCCGTTTACGTTGTTGCAAATGTAAACCTATCATGTTCTTCTTAATCTTCTTCTTGTAAGATTCCGGCAGTGTGGACTTTTATGAGCGTATTACTGCCCTCCACAGGTCAAAGTTTGAACTAAATTCTTACATACAGTCCTGTGTCATGCAAGAATTGAAGGAGTGCCTTGGAGATCAGTTTATGCTCGTCACTGTGCCCAAACAAAGATAAAATAGAAAAAGCCTCAACTCCAAGTCCTGACAGTTTATTAACGAGTACATTTCTTTCTGCCTTATACTTTCTGCATTCCAGGAAAACATGCCCTATTGTCTCAAGACTCCCACATTCACACAAGCCTGAAACATGCTTCCCTACAATGCACAGAGAATAATTTAATCCACAGTGCCCCAACCTCAATCTGCACATTTTAACTGAGTCCCTGCGGGACAAAATGTTACATAAACATCTCTTCCTAACTTTGGGTTGTATAGAGAAGTAGTGTCTGCCTCTAATTTCGTTTTCCCACCCTCTCTGCCATTCTTTTATTAAGCCCTCTTTAATTCTCTCAATTCCACTCTCCCTACTGATACATGGACATCTAATTCTCTTCCTAAGCTCTCTTTTGCAATATTATCCACTCGTTTGTTCCCCCTCACCCCAACGTGCCCAGCAAAAACTGATGTTGCAAATAAACCTAGTTCTAAAAACCACATTCAAGATGTCATTTACAATGTCAGGTCGGGCTTTAGATTTTCCTACTTTCAAATTTTCTAGAGCACCTGTAGAATCAGAGCAGATAATGACTTCTCTAGGTTTGACTTCCTCAATCCAACAGACACCTTGCTGGGAAGGTACGATCACACCCACTAAGTTTGACCCAGTATTGTAACCCTAACTTAATGCGTCTTAACCATAAGGGCATTTCTCCCATTTCAATGAGTAGGGCAGGGACTGGGGAGGTTCTAAAGGCCCCACAGCAAAGCCTCAAAGCCCTTGCCTGCACCACATGTAACCTATCCAGAACAGTTTTGGAAGCAGATCCATACACAAAGCTCCCATAATCTAGAGCAGATCTAATCATGACCTGAAAAATTAGCAGCATCGTCTCCCTATAAGCCCCCAACTCACACCCAGCCAGACTTCTCATTACATTCAGAACTTTTTCACACTTCAACACAATTTTATCTACATGCACAGCCCAAGTCATACGCTCTTCAAACCAAACACCTAAAAATTTAAAAACCTTTACCTTCTCCAATGGAGATCCATACATATATAGCCCTAGATTAGGTAACTTTCTTTTAAATCCAAATACTATATATTTAGTCTTAGAAGCAGAGATTTTAAAGCCCCATGTGTTCCCCCATTCCTCTACAGATACCAACACTCTTTGAATCTGTTTTAAAACAAACTCTACATTACGCCTTCTTTTCCAAATGGCCCCGTCATCTGCAAATAAAGATAACCTGAATCCTCTTTCTACTTTACCAAAGATATCATTGATCATTATATTAAATAACACTGGACTTATTACACTTCCCTGTGGGGTTCCATTCTCTATGCTCACAGTCTTTGAATTAATACTACCAACCTTTACTTGCATTGTTCTTTTCATTAAAAAATCCTTTATCCAATTAAACATTCGTCCCCTAACTCCCAAGTCAAAAATTTTAATCATCAATCCCTCCTTCCACAAAGAATCATAAGCCTTCTCAATATCCAGGAATGTCAACTTTTCTATATTGTACCCCAGTCTTAACAAAGGTTGCACAACCCCCGCCTGATCTATCAGGCCTATCTAATCTCAAACATTCATAACCTGGAATTACAAAATCTAGACAGGGCTTTAGCCATGTCTCTTGGATACATATCAAATCTGGTGCTTCTTTAAAATTATCTACAAACCTTTTTAACTCCTGACCATTTCCAATCAGACTCCGGGCATTCCATTGAAGAATATACCACATTAAAACATTAATGAGGGTCCTCATCATTCACCTCACTAACGTCCTCCATACTGCTAGTCTTCAACAACTGTGATCTGTCTATACACTGACTTTCCATCATGTATTGATGCAACTTTTCTGGCAACTGCTTTATACTCAGGTATCTTTCGGCTGCACCCACCACTAACCTAATGACGTCTGACCGGTTAGTTGCTTTCTTAGTACCCACCAACACATCAGAAACAAAAGACAAAAATGACTCCTTACTAACAATTAGCATGTCAGATGAAGATGCAGGTGGTAGATTTGGCACAGAGACCTTGCATCCTAGCACCGGCCTTTCCCCAGGGCTTCCATTTCCGCTTTCTCTAGTCACTCTTTGAACTGCCTCTGCATATGTTACTTTGTTCTGATCCTTCACAACCTGCACCCGCCTAGCTTGGACAAAGTGCTCACAGCCATAAAACCCTGCTGCATGATCCCCATCACAGTTAGGGCACTTAGGAGTCTCTGCCTTACAATTTTGTATGATATGATCTCCACCACACTTTGCACACTTTCTTTTGCCCCGACATGATCCAGCAACATGTCCAAACTTCTGACAATTATAGCAGCGCAGGGGTGGTTTAATGTACTCCCTCACTTGATACACCATACTCCCTAGGAACACTCGCTGTGGTAGTACACCATCTTTAAACGTTAACAAAATAGGCGGATCCCCACCTCCATCTCTACGTTTAAATCTTACCACATCAGTTACTTGGGCCCCCTTAACATTTTCCAAGATTTCCTTCTCAGACAAGCCAGCAAACATTCCATATACTTGACTCCCTGATTGCTTCCTCTAGGGACCAAAGTCTCCACCTTAACCACCAATTTCCCAACACCTCTAGCATCATCATACTGTTTCCTATTTTTGCAACAAACTCTTAACATTCCATTATAAAATATCTTGGCCTGAAAATCCTTGCATATCTGACTCTCCAAAGAATTATTAACCTTTAATGGGTTAATTTCCCTAAATCCTGCATCTCCTTGATTAGCTCCCTTGACTTTAAACAGCATAACTAACTTTATACATTTATATATATATACAGTATATATATTCCTGTTTGTGCACAGCTTTCCTGTCAAATAAATAGATTTACTGAATAAAAAATCTAAATATCAGGCCAGGAGATGAGACTTTGTGGAGTTCCGATGCTCTCTCTCTCTGCATCTCAATGCACAACCAGAGCGCAGCACGCAGGCAGGCAGCAGCCCCTCCAGCTTCTCTCCCAGCAGTGTTTTTCTTGGCTTGTGTGGAGGTGAGTGGTGATGAACAAAAGACTAAACTACAGTGCCTCGAGTTTACAGCTAAAAAAGACAAAAGGCAAGTATAAGTCTTGCAAACATGCACGACTCATGAGCTGAGCTAATGTAATAAGTTACCTAAAGTCAAGCTAAGGCAATTTATCTTGGTTGGTCATACAGCATAATGTAACGCCACATTGATAAGCAAATTAGGCGTTAACTAATTAAAATGCGCTAATTTGCACACATTTGACAAGTCACTGCAGGTGAATGGGATAAAGAAAATAACTAAAGCATGTCACCACAGAACTTCCTCAGTAAATGACTTACATCAAGACTCTTTCCCCTTGAAATGTTGTGTTTAAATATGCAGATTAGATTGTTTTAGTTCATTTAGAAGAAATCTACTAATGCAAACTGGCGAAAGGTAGGCTTAAAACAAACTCCATCTAAATGTGTATTTTGGAAGTTTTCTTTCCATGTATTGTTACGTGAGTAAAAGAAGACAAAAGCAAAATAGACCAAAATCTCAAAACTGACCACTATATGAAAATGTGTCCTGCCTTAAACAGTAACTTTACATGATACAGACAACCCTCACTCAAATGTGAAACCAAGTAATAACGAAAAGTGTTCAAAATTATCAAAAATAATTATCTAAATAATTAAAAGGATTTATTGCCTTGTCAAAAATAAACTAATTATTAGTGAAACTAACGTTCTGTCAAAAAAAAAATCATACATAATTATGAGAAGTTCCATTTTTTTCACTTGAGCCCCCTGCCCAACAAAATGTCTGTGCACGTGGGGTGGGAGGAAGCCGGAGCACCCGGAGAGAACCCACGTGGACACGGGGAGAACAGGCAAACTCCACACAGAAAGGCCGGGGCAACCGGGGTTTGAACCCACGACCTTGTTGCTGTGAGGCGACAGTGCTAGCGCCGCCCCTTACTCTAGTTGTAAAATCTTAAAATCAATTCTGAAACTCAGTTTTGAGCATTAAACACTTAATTTCCCGCATTCTAGTCAAATTTTCACCATTTTCTTCCTTTTATTATGTTTACGAGATTTCAGCTCCTGCTCAAACTTGAACTGGCCTTATTCAGGATTGAAGGACTCAATTATCTTCTTATTTGTTGTTCTTTATAACAAATCTAAACATGTCAGCAAAATCGGCCAAGCAAAATGCTCTTATTCTGAAATGCTCTCTGTGGATATGCAGCCTGAAGATGATGGAACAAAACGGGAGCAGAGAGAGCTGTGGAGAAGGTAGTAGAAGCACAAAAATGACTGAGACACTTCCAGTGGACACCAACGCCGGGCTGGGGACCTAACAGAACGGTGGCGCAGCTGTAGTCGGTGGACTTTCAGAGTTAGACTGTTTAAAAAAAAGGCCGCAACTGGTAAGACAACAGCTTGAAACGTCACTCCTGTTCCTGCTGCGGCTTTTCGCTATATAAATAAAATTGAATTTAAAAAAAAAATGTAATTGACTTCTGCTATTTATGAAACATAAGAAACATTTGAAAGATACGTCCCCCATTGTGCAGCAAAGGGTGTTACACCTTCAACAAGCCGGCATCTGTGCTCACTCGGCGTTGGAGGGTTTAACAGCCCACTATAATCCGCCCTCAGTGGTTTCAATGGCACTCAATGTGGCGGCCCTCCGCATGAACGCACAAACGGAGCAGAAGTAGGTAGGGAGAGGGAGGAGCAAGCAGTTTCGGAAAGGCCCTGCAATTTCATTGTGCCAATTTCAGGCACTTTGTTTTTGTGGATGTGTTTTTAATTATGTAAAGGGAAACAAAATTCAGGTTGAAGGTGTCATTCCAAACTCTAAGGCCCCATCCACACTATGTTCTAGTTTACAAACGGAGAATTAAAACGAATATGATCTCCGTCCACAGCAGCGTTTCCGCTGCGTTTTGGAGTTGATCTCCGTCTACATTAAAACCAATGAACACGCAGAGCTAAGGCCCGTTCAGGTACACTGGGCATGCGCGTGCCAGTGTAAACATGGAGCAAATGGTCTATTCCGTACAGAAGATTTGGCAAAAGAATAAATAAATACAGATGAAGCATCAGACCAATTCTTTTTATGCACGAACTAATAATGAGCTGGGACTGTTACTGAATGTAACACGGGAGTGCGGCGGCGGAAAACTGACTGGGAGTCGTTGCAAAGTAAACGGCGACATGCACAGTACAATTGTAGGGAAAAAGTTATTTGCACCGTAGCCTACATAATATTTTAATAAAAATACGATGTCAAAAACCCGGTCAGTAGCATCGTGTTTCTGCTTTGCAAGACCCAATCAGAGAGCAGAGCGTGAGCGGCTGCGTCATCGTTTCACTAAAACGCCCTCCGGTGTTTTGAAACGCAAAGCGGCGTCGGCAGCGTTTCCAAACTTCTCCGATTTAGGTCTTCGTTTGCGGCGTTTTAGTCTGGACGGGACGTGCAAACGTAGCAGAAGGTCTCGGTTTTAATTTTAAAACGCAGTAGTGTGGATGGGGCCTAACCTGTGGGTTGGGGACCCCCCGGGGGCTGCAACCTGGTCCCTTGGGGGCCGCAAGAATTCTACTATAGACGCAAAAAATGGGGGGAAAAAAACTTCAAAATAACTAGCCGGATTATAGTTGTGGATGGTAATGCCAGCTGCCATAAAACACGAAAGTATAAGAATTTTAAAAAAGCAATGTGTTGGGGGAGAGGTGGGGCTTTCAGGCATTCTGTGCTGTTTTCAGATCTGTTTCTCCTGAAAATCAACTTTTCTCATGTAACATCATCCCTGCAGGTTTAGGCTTCCTCCTCTTTTGTCATGTTCGCAGGAAGAGAACGGAAAACTTGGCCAAAAAGAAACTGTGTCAAAAAGTTGTTAAAGTTACTGATTGGTGCCAGAGATGCTCACAGGTCTCTGAGCTCGAGTCCACATCGAGTCTCAAGTCACTCGTGGTTATAATAAATGTTGTAGCACCTGCTGCGTTCAATCCAATTAACTACTGTAAGTCAACACACCCCGCAGACTCAAACCAGTTTAACGTTAACTAAATAAGACTAACGTTACATGATCAACAATAAACCTGTAGCCTGTTTTTCACTAAAGGAACACAAACATGTAGCCTAATGCTCAAAACAACCAATGACAGCTTAAACTACTGTAAGTCACTACATTCTTGTTATGCCCAGCTCGTGGAAGAACATAACAAAGAGGGAAGGTCGACGCAGAAAACCAGTTTAAATGAACCATATAGGTTTTATCAAAGTTACCTTAACTTATAATTAACTCAAAACACAAGCAAACTCATCATACTCAAAACAAACAACCAAAAGAAAAGGAGCTCCTGAAAGGCGCCGCCTTCCAGGAGAGAGGTCACGAGGAAGAGAGCGCCATCTTGGTTCACCACAGCATTTAAAGACTTGAACAGGTGGCTGCAATCACTGATGAAGTGACCAAACAGGAAGAAAGACCTGGAAAGAAAGGAGAGAGAACAGGCCAACACCCCAGGCCGTCACATTCTGCAGACTCTCAAACCCAGTGTGATAACTAAATAAGACTGTAACGTTACATGATCAGCAATATACAAAGTGACTTACAATTTCTATACATCATTGTGTACATAGAAATGTTTTTCACACAGCGCAATCATGTAATGTGCAAATGCTACTAATGATAGCTTCAATTACTGTAAGTCAAATATTCCCCAGACTCTCAAACCCAGTAAATAAGACTGTAACGTTACATCAACAATAAACCTGTCAAGTTTGACACGTGAACAAACTTTTGCTTGAGGATGGAGGGATAGATGTCAAGGAGGGCTGGAAGAAGCCCTCCTTGACATTAGACAGGCGATGTGATGGGGGAGAGGAGAAGCTCTGGGGGCCGTTCAGCCAGTTGTTGCGAAGGATGTCATCACCACCAACTGTGGATGGATCGTAGAGGGGGAGGGAAATCCTTTTGTGAGCCTTGACCACGGACGACCAGGCGGGGGAACGCAAAAAAAGTCATGGTAAATCTTGATTTATTTATTATTTTATATAAAATAGATGGCAACAGCCATTTTGCCAAACTCGAGTATTTAAAACTGTGGTCCACAAACCAGCGGGTGAATTTGTGGCGGCTCCGGCCGCTTCGTCTATGGAGAGAGGAGAAAATACAAAAGAAAAGAAAATTAAACAATCAAAGCAACATACAGGGTTCAGAAATGTTTCCAGATCTTAACAATAGTCACTTTCAGTGTGTGCTATGTGTTGTGTGTAAGTAACGCTGATGCCCACCAGGGGGCACAGTGGTCACATATCACAGGTGAACAGCTGCAAGGAACTAGGATCCATGGAAGCCACACAGTTTTTAAAACGTGTGTGCGTCAGCGATGGTTTTTGGTCATTTTGCATCATAAGTACCTTTTAGTTTCTTACATATAAAAGCTGATTTTATGTCATTCATTCGATGCAACCCGTTTGTGTCGGTACCGTTTAATCAGCATACAAATAAACTGTTAAACGCATTTGCCATGGCAGACCTGATTTTTTATTATTAGATTGTTTTTTTTTGCACCACTACATGGTGGAGATGACTTCAGATTCCCTCATGTGGCCATTTTTTATTGTTGTTGATGATCACTACACAATTAACAAATGTTGAGCTACAGCGACCTATGGGATAGAAAAAAATCCATATAAAACCCTTTAATAAAAACAACCTTTGTTAAATCTTGTTTCACAAAGATCTCAGGCTGTAGATTACATATTTTTAATGTACAGTATGTAAATACAGTCTGAAGAAACCTCACTAATGGATCTGCCAATAAATTACACATGAAGGGAAACATTATTGTGGTAAAGTAAAATATTGTTTGGAATTAACCATATTCAGTACATGTATTTCAAAATGCATGTAAGGCCATGACTGGTTGCCATTTAGTGCATATAAAAGTTTGCTTATTAAGAGCCTCAGCACCAGCTGCAGTATTATAAATAGTTTGCGCAGCCACAGCTCAAGGCGGTTTGATCAAGTGATCAGATTGCCTTGCTGCCGAGTTGAGTTACAGGATCCATAAGGCCAGAGCGTGTTTGTTCTCAGGTCATTGCAGTGACCTGTGTAACTCACCCTCTTTGTTGTAGTGAACCAAAGCATCGGACTCAGTCTTGAGACCTCAGTGTCGGTAGATGGTTTTCCTTGCTTTTCTATTTTGTGTTGGTATTTTGTTTCCTCTCTCCACAACAAGCCGGGTCGTAACACAAGCCAAACCAAAATTGCAGATGTAAAGTGTAAAGAAGCATGACTGACAAGCTGAAAACAAGACCATGATGCCCTGGGACAAGATTTTTGAAATTGTTCCAGTAATAAGCAAGCATTCAGTAATCCTGCTACAATCCACATAACCCTTGCAGGCAATTGCACCCACTCAAAGTCCACTAGAGTTCCTGTTTTCAGAGCACTGGCCTTCTGAGGGACTTGGGCCAGCTGCATCTGAGAGCAGCACACACTTTTGAGTCAATTGAGTTTTTTGAAAATTCAGTTTGTCAAGCCTTTTCCACATCAGCATAGTTTTGTTCTACAATAATAAAGTTCTGGACATTTTTTTTTCTGTGCTGGGATTAAAATAAAGACAAAGATTTGTCAGCTTTAGGTGTTTCTGTTTACCATCATTTACATATACATTTACTATCAGTGTGTAAGGGAAATGAGGGAAGGTAAGAATAAATTAACCCTAAATCTTGTAGTATTAATTATATATGCATATATTATGGACATTATGCAAATCACTGTATTTCCGTAATCGATTACTTCGATAAGTTGCCCAGATATACCCATTGTTAATACCAAACTATTATCTGGTTATTACTTTGGTAATTACATGATAATAAATTATTAACTCTTCATTAGTATCAAACTATTACCATGTTATTACCAAGCAGTATTAAAAATCAAGTTCTGCCATTTGTGAATATTTCAGTCACAAACCAGATGACATCAAACAAACACAAATAATGAGCGAGCTTTGACTCAGAGCTGATGTTTCAACTCAAGTGTATTCGATCATTTTAAGAATCAGTTTGTTTTTACAAATCCACTTCAGGAGATAATCAAATCATTTAGGTAGTCAGTATTTATCTTTAACAATCAGAATGAGAACCAGAGGCCTCATGATTTAATGAAGCTCAGTGGATTGTTTTATGAATGTAAATATTCACCTGATGGAGAACACAGGTTAGACTCCACATAAGGCTCCGTGCTGCTCGTCATCCTGTCCGTCTCCTCACTTTGCTGTCTCTCTTCAGCTGCTCCTGTTAAATAAAAGCAGTCTTATATCTCAGTCAGTAAACAAGATAAGGAATGGTTTCTGTTATGTTGATGTCTGCACATGAATATGGATATGTTGATACAATCAATTATATAAACTCACCTTTATTAGAGCGTGCTGTGATGAACTTTGTAGCTGCAAGCAAAGCCTGAACTGTAGCAACAGTTAGAGCTCCTAAAACGAATGCACTCAACAATCCTGTGACGTCCATCTTGCTGCACGTGTCTTTAAACACACAACAAAACCTAGAGTCACACTCAGAATGTAAACTGTATCTCATGTACAGCACGCTGGTTATTACCTACACAGAACTACTACTGAGGCGACCATGCTGCTAAAATCTGAAACTATTTGCAGATAAAACCACTGAGATGAATTTCACCTGACGCAGTGATGTCAGGATTGATCCGATGTCCTCCTGCTCAGTGGAAGCATTTTTTTTTACTGTTTTGATATTTTTTAAGCAAACATTATTAATTACTTGAAAAAAAAAAATAAGAATTGATGAATTAAAAATTTAAATAACCATTAGTTGCAGCCTTGCACAAAAGTACAATAATTTACATTTTACACTTGAATTTAGCTTTTATTAAACTAAATTCAAACATAAAACAAAGTGTGTGCATTTGGTCACTGGGAAATATCTTGTTACTGATTTCACTGAAAAGTATCGTCTCGTAATTACAGTATAATAATATTGCAGTTGTCAGTGTAGGGAGTGAGATTACAGACTAAGCTGGCTGATTTATGTGCCATGATCTCTACCGTGCTGCCATTACTGCAGTGGTTGAGTTTGACTGAGATTTAAAAGGCTGATGTGCCTTTTTCTTCGACCTTAAAGACAGATCAGGAGAAAATAGAGTCTAGATTTTGACGTCACGATCTGCAATGTGTGTGCTACAAGAGTCACTGATCACTGAATTGGACAGTCCCTAACTAAAGGGATATAGTATGTAATAACCTATTGTGACAGGCATGTTGGACAGACATTCAGTTATTTCAGCTGCCAACCTCATCGTCATCTTTGGTGATTTTGAGTTGAACTAAACTGAGAAACGTCTTCCTAAATAAGCTCTCCAACAGATCCCAAAACTGGGAGAAATTGAGGCTTTGACACGGAGCTACTGAAGGTAACAGCAGCAAAAACCGACGAATGTTAAATATTAACCCAACCAGTTTCCAAACACTAGTGTTACAGTTTGTCTTTTCTACTAATCGAGGCAGTGCTGTTGTTGCAGCTGCATTTATCGCCGTCTTCCACGTGTTGGATCCCCGTAACCTACGGTACTGTGGAAAAACAACTTCACGTGTTCTGAATTTTGGCATCGACTTAAGTATTGGTTCTCATGACATCTCTAGTCTCAACAACACATGTAAACATGTTTCCATTTCCATTTATTCATTTAGCTGACGCTTTTATCCAAAGTAACTTACAATTGCTATACATGTCAGAGGTCGCACGCCTCTGGAGCAACGAGGAGTTAAGTGTCTTGCTCAGGGACACAATGGTGGATGGCGCCATCACCACCCCCTATGTTTGAAAAGTAATAACACGTGATCTCTTACAATAACTGAATTGTTAAAATTACCACCAAGGACAATCTCACCACAGATGTACACGTAGGTCTCAGCATAAATGTGATGGTGGATCTCCTCCTGTGTGGCTACACAGCGATAGTGGTCGGTCTTCATCACAGTAGTGTTGACAGTGATGTAGAAGCTGCCTCCTCTTTCTGAGACCTGTGGCTCCTCAGCAGGAAGTTTGTTTCCAGCACTGTCCTGCCACTCTACTGTAGGTTTAGGAGAAGCACCTCTAACTTCACACTGCAGCAGGGCCACGTCCTGCGTTTGATTAAGTATCTTGACAGACGGCTCTGGAGATGCTCCTGTGAACACAGTAAACAGACACATCAGCTATAAAAGGACAATAACAGGATTATAAATGTAACACTGTGATGTTTCTTGTTCGTCTCTTCTCTGCTTGTAAATGAGGATTAAAGTGTGTTTAACAGAAAAACACAGAGGAACAGAAAAGCACAGTATCAGCCTCAGTTGCTCCTCCCAGCATTGTTAGATAGGACATGATATTTCAAACATTTCTAACTTCTACCAAAAGTCTGGAAACTATTTACAGCTGCAAACACTGTTTCTGACTCATATCATGACAGAAGCTCAGATACAGTGAAGACGTTTGGACAAACTCAATTTTAACATGTGAAATGACGTCACATGAAATCTGTTGTCTGATGTGTCGACAATTAGGGCTGGATGAAATGGCTAAAAATGTTACGATAAAAAGTTTCATATCTTTCGATATCGATAATTATCACGATAAGTATCAAATCGTTATTTCTTTAATTTCTTTTATTTCGAGTTTAAAGGCTTATTTTTGCTCCTCAGTGAAAGTTGAAGAAAAAGCTTTATTCAGTCCTTTTTTTCCTCAACAAAATAAACATCTTAATAAAAAAATTAAGTCCTAATTTGTGTATGATATGAAGTGTATAACAAACATTTATTGAAAATTTGCTATATTGTTATTGAAAAAAAAAAATAACGGCAAATAAGCCGTTACATGGCAGCCCGAATATAGTCAAATTATTTCAAATCCTGGGACACTTGTGTGGGAGGGAGAGTTATATGATTGATCCCAACGTTCTACATTTTTTCTCCTTTGTTAAACAAACTGATTATAAAAGGACACTTTTGCACATGCTCACAATAAAGCATGTGCTGCAGTGTGTGTGTGCGTGTCCTGGCGTTTACCCGCATTCATAAACCTCTGGACGCTTATTTTCATCTCCCTGAGGAAATTCAGGGGAATCCAATCACACGTCTACTTGCCTGCTTTTTCAGAGGTGGGTCTTATGAACGTCCTGCAGAACTTTTCAAAGTAAAAGCTCTCAATAAACTCGAAATAAAGCATTGTTGCAAAAAACGCGCTTTTATTTTGGAGGCACAATCACTTAAGAGGACTGCAGTGCTAGAGTCTGACTGAACACAGTTTCACCAACAGTTTAAAAGGCTGATGTGCCGTTTACATCGTGACCCACAGAGTCCGACCTTAAAGACACATCAGGAGAAACTAGTGGAGAGTCTTGATTCTGATGTCACTTATTTGCAATGTGTGCTACAACTTAGTGACCTTAGAGCTGGGTGATATTTCACTGCAAGAGTTTCTAAAGGACACAGCACGTGTCCAAGTGCACCACCGATTCCTCACCTGTCGTTAAAGATTCAGTAGCCTACTAGTTTTGAGACCTTGATGTGTTTTTTTGCATGTATATAATAATGTGGAGATTTTAACATTTATGGTGGTGACTTTTTCCCTTTTTCTAGAAATTTTATAATATGTTTGTTAACATCTATATTATTGAAGTATGATATTGTTTACTTTTAAAACTACTGTTGGGTAATATGTTGTGTTTATTATGCCATTTCCTCTATTTGTCTATTGATGTATAAAAGGTACCAGCAAGACTTGAGAGCATGTCTGTAGCACGTTACGCTGCAGCTTGACTCTTTGTTGTACAGCGGCCTTAAAGCTTTACAGAAGCTGACAATACAGAAACTTTGGTGTCACACAGGGAATGAAAGCAGCAGCCGCCACTCTTGGTGGTGGTGAAATCGTCGGGCCATCCGTTCCGCCGCTTTGACGGACAGAAACAACGCACAACAGAAAGACACGTGTAGTAAGGTAAGCGTATTGTGGCGATCGACGCCTGCGTCACACACACGGCCACCAACCAGCTCAGGAAATATCGGTGAAACGGCGTTTCAAACCAAACGCACGGGTCCGAAAGAGGCTCAGTCTGAGTTACAGCCAGTACCAGCATCGGACGCTGCGGGGGAGGAACTCCGGTGTTGTCGGCGAATTACTAAGCTTGTGTATTAAACACGAGAGGCGTCACTTGGTTTTATTTTCGTTGGCCAACTTTTGAATTGAACCTCAACCTGAGTATTTTTTGTTTGCTTATACAGAAAGATGGACTCTCTGGGAGATTTGAACTGAGTTAAGGAAGCATTAATCGGTGGTTGAACTGTGGGTTTTATATTGAGCACTTACTGTATAACAACTTTGTTTTTCTAGTGGTCTGTAGGACGACCTGATGATATATTATATCATATTATTTAATGCCATGACTTGACTCAAATCATCTTTCTCATATTATTAAAATTTGATTTTTCTTCTCCACTCATAATAATTATTCATGCCTAGGTGATCTAGGTCATCATAACACAGGCCTGGCCGTCGAGTCCCAGCGTGAAATTGATGTTGGGTTCGGGTTCGGGCGGAAAAATTGCAGATGTTATCGGGCCGGGCCGGGTTAGGACCGGAGTTTTGGGCCGATGCAGGGCTCTAGCCTGGCCTACAAGAAAGAACTGTGTATGTTTAATCTATCTAATATTGTGTTGGTCACACTATACACTAATTTACTGCTTGTCCGTTTTGAATCATACTGAAGGTAAAGAGCTTAAAAATTAATTGCATATTAAATCACAATATTGGTTTAAAAATAAATAAATTCGCAATTAGATTATTTCCCAAAATCGTTCAGCCCTAATGTCTATTTTTGAAAGCACTACTTTACAGCATTATTCCACACCAGCCTAAAACTGTTGCACAGTACTGTAGATCTGATCAACAAATATTTTATCTCAAAATTAGAACATGATCATAATTATTAAATGTATGAATTTGTTTTGTTCAACTTCTGCCTAAACCTGCTGTACATCTGTTTAATCAACATGAAGGTTCTACATCAAACTTTCTGAATGATCCTGAGGCCTACAGAGTTGTAGCACACATTACAGAGTGACACTCACCTGAGATTTCTCCTGATCGGTCTCTGAAGGTGAAGTCTGAAAGACACAGTGGATGGGTGATGTTATGAACAAGTCGCATGTTATAAGCCAAGTAATGGAGTCATTTGTCAATTTATTCGCTCTGTTGCAGAGATGCAGCTTAATAGAAGATCGATATCACACTTTACTGTGCTGTAAATAAGAAGCTACAGGCAGAAGACAGCTGGGCTTGCTGACTGAAGACAGAAGGAAACAGCTGCCAAAGACAAAATCTGCACACTGGCATCTTAAAAAGTCAATCATTAAACTTAGTTCTACACGCAACTCAACTTATGACCCATGCAGTTAGGTGCCTCTAGACCTCCTGTCAACAAATATGATCTTACAATACGAAGTCATTTTGCTGGAGGACCCCTTTAGGCCTCCCCAGAAATCCCCTTCTGTCTTACAGACCGCAAATTTTTTTGCAAATGTTTCATGAGGAACATTAATTTAATACATATTTGTGAGTAACACTGAATGTAAACATACATTTTGTTTGTTTACAAGAAAACTCAAATGTGGTTAGAGAATCCAACAGCAGCAATTGTGTTAGTCACCTGAGATCAGATGCAGAGGAGTAACCAGAAGCAGAGGCTCAGTTCTGACCCGATGTGCAGACTTTGAAGTTCATGCGGTCAGGCGACAGGACAACAAGCATGTCACTGATTTTAGTTTCTTATAGACCTTTTGGAGGAAGAGGAGGAAAGGATCGCAAGTCATTTTTTGATACTAAGTGCATTACATGCTGAAACTACCTGAGCTACAGGAGGGTGGCGGGCAGATGTCTCTATTTTGTATGACGTTACTAAGAAGACATACTTTATATTATTATATATATATATATATATATATATATATATATATATATATATATATATATATATATATATATGAAGGAAATCAAAAACTGTGCATCTATACTAATAAATACAGCAGGCGTTCATAGTTTTAATATTATTAGATTTACATTTATTCATTTAGCTGAAGCTTTTATCCAAACCGACTTACACTTGCTATACGTCAGAGGTCACACGGCTCTGGAGCAACGAGGGATTAAGTGTCTTCCTCAGAGACACAATGGTGGATGTGTCACAGTGGGGTGTAGGGCTGGGCGATATGGCCAAAAAATCATATCCCGGGGCAGTTAGGCAGAATTCCGGTATAAAATATATATCTGTATTTTCTGCTGAGCAGGCTGGGGAGGGTTTAGCGGGCATGTTTTTACTACTTGAGTTGAACCCGGGTCTCTCACACCAATGGCATGCATCTTATCCACTGCACCATCACCACCCCTTTATCAACATCTTGATAAAGTTCAGATGTTGCAGACTTTTATTATAAAATTACTGTATCGGCCTGAAAATAAGACGGGTTTTTTTTGTTTGTTTTTTTAAACTCACTCTTTTTATTCAATGTCTTTTTATAAGAATTTTTTTACAAATAAAATTATTTTCTTTATAAAAATAAGCTTTGATCTTCAGAAAGTATTTTTCCAAAAATGAGTCTTTTAATCAGGATCATCTTATATTCGGACCGATACGGTTATAAATGTAATTATTGCCTGTCTAACAACGGTCTGCGATTCTCACATAATAAATAGCTGATATAACGGTAATTAGTTACTTATTGTCAGAACAGCTGGAGTCAAACCAAACTCACCTACAACAAGCTTAATGTGGGATATCTGTCTTGGCTGAAGAAGTGGAAAATCACAGGTGTAGTCTCCACTGTCGGTCACCTTCGTATTTCTGATGATGATGGAGGCGTTGCCGTACTTCAGATCATCTTGAAAATGTGAGACGCGACCTTTGAACCGCTGATCTTGACCTGGACGGCCGTTGTTGTAATGAAGGCCTCCAACATAAAAGAAAACCTCCTTCCCACCATCTTTCTTCCAGTCAAAGAGTTTCTCCTCAGCGTTCTCCTTGGTGCTGAGTGAACAGGGTAAAAAGGCGTCACTCCCTTCTTTCACAACCACTCTGACGACACCCGACCCTGAGAGAGGAAGATCATTTTTAGTCATCATGGTCAAGCAGAGAGCAAAGGCCTCGGCGAGGTTTGAAACTGGGGAAACCCACCCCCCATGCCCAGTCCTAAAAAGTCCTCCGCAGGGGTTGAGTTATCAACCCTCAGTCCTCAGGGAATTGTTTAAAACGTTCAGCAGCCAAACTCACAATTTTAACATTCTAGATGAACAGCCAAGTTAATAACCATGGTCAATAATGAAGAAGTGTGATCAGCCTCCACATCATAACCTACATTGAGAGACGGTTTTCTTGTATTGTGGTAAATTTATGGGGTAATTTTCCTGTAATTCAAGAGCACAGATGTAGTTTTAATGGTGGAGGGGACAAATGAAGAGAAGGGTCCAGGGGTCCCCCCTCCCAGGAAGTTTTAGGCATTAAAGACCTAATTTCCTGCATTCTGGGGAAAATTTGAGCACCAATTTATGGTCCTTTTTAGTGTCCTTATCTATATAAAGGGAAACACAATATTCAGGCAGATGGTGCCAGTTCAAACTGTTATAAATTAATAGAATATAATGCAGGAAGGCTTTCAGGCATTCTGTAGCTGTTGCTTTTAAATGTTTTCTCCCGTCAATCAACTTTTCTAAGGGGTCTAACACACACGCTCTGCCTCCTCTTGTCTTTGTTCAGGGAAATGGCCACTTTTAATATACACGTGGCACCTTTTCACTTCAATGATATATTAAGTAATTTTTTAATTCCTGGACTTTTATAGCTCTTGTGTTTTAGCAGGTTTACTGCTCATGTTCAAAACTTTCTGCACATTCAGAATCTTTCCCACATATCTGTGTTCTCTGACATGTTCAGAAAAAGTATCATTACCAGACTAACGTCACCATTTAATGAGAATTCACAATATTTTTAAGTCTGCAAGCCCTGCACTCTGATGTGAATTACGTTATTGTAGTGGCCATCACCTTTAAAAAGTTTGACCGTCCACACACGTTAACTTCAGCAGATCCGATATCTGAACACACATATCATATCTATGATGAGGAAAGTAAACATGTTCTCTCCTCCCAAACTTTGATGGAAGCAAATAACAGTACTGTTAGATCAATGCACAGATGCAGCGAATCAATCTCTGTCGGTCTGTCTTGCTACCCCAGCTGCGCAGCGCAACTCTCAGACTGTCAAATTCAAATTCGCTTTATTGGCATGAATGTGTAACAATATTGCCAAAGCATCATACAACATAAGAACAATCTACCCCATACATTTCACAAAACAAGTAATTAAAGCGTAAAGTAATCAAAGCGTATGTGTTTTTGTGTTAAAAAAATAAAACTATATATTGAAAATTAAAATAAATAAAACGGTAAGCGTGTGTGTGTTAAAAAAATAAAAATATGTTAAAAATTTAAATAAAATAAAACAGTAAGCGTGTGTGTTAAAAAAAATATATATATTAAAAATTTTAATAAAATAAATAAAACGGTAAGCGTGTGTGTGTGTTAAAAAAATAAAAATATGTTAAAAATTTAAATAAAATAAAACAGTAAGCGTGTGTGTTAAAAAATTAAAAAATATTAAAAATTGAAATAAAATAAATAAAACAGTAAGCGTGTGCGTGTTAATAGACAAAAATAAAATAATTAATTGATTAAAAAATAATAATAAATTTTAAAAAAGAAATCAGTATCAAATGTAAAAACAACCTGTCTGTGTCTTGGTTGCTTGCCAGAGTTTGTGTCTGAAAAATGTGAAGCAAAACTATTTATTACATTTGATAAACGCTGACTGGCAACGGTGTTTATAAACTGCAGCTCGGAAAACGTGCCACACGTGAACATGCGTTCATACGCGCTTTCACAAAATTAAACGTGCGCGTTCTAACAGCAATCTTTGTGAGGACCAGTTAGTCGCAGCTCAGACCCTAATAAAACAGTTGCTGCTCCACCAAATGACCCAGCAGATTGGCCCCCAGGGTTAACAGACTTCATGAGGACTGAGTTAGCGGGCAGATGTCTGTTCAAACCAGCGGAGACGGACTGTTTAAAAGGAGGGAGGACTGTAGTGAGAGCGCCGCGGTGTCAGGTGTGACTGTGACTCACGAGAAAAGTAAAGAGGGCAAAATTATGCTTAGGGCCCCTGGGAGGCTCAGAATGCAGGTAGTGTGTGGGACAATGCCAACATCCAATAAGATGTGCTGAGATTGACATGTGACATGTGATGTAATGTGCATGTGACGAGTTTTTTCTCCTGATGTCACAGTTCCAGCAGATGCCCCACCATGTTTTCATTTCTCCCGCGTTATTTTTAGCAGAGGTGAATTGCTGAACAATTCACCTCTGCCAACAAGGGGAAATTAAATTAAGCCTGCATGTGTGATGACTCAGAAGGGGATGATAATACGTGAGAAAGTTGAGAAACAAATCTGAAAAACAACTCAGAATGCCTTCAATAAATTAGTGCAGAAATGTTCAACTGTTTTTTTGCCTCCAAAATTTTGAAGCAAAAGCTATGCTCTTGAAATGGACACAGGTTTGGTCTCGCGATGTGATTGATCACACGGTGTGGTGGCGCATAGATAAGATGCTTGCCTTTGGGTTCAATTCCCACTGTGAGACATCCACCATTGTGTCCCTGAGCAGGAAACTTAATCCCTAGCTGCTCCAGAGGCGTGCGACCTCTGACATGTATAGCAATTTTAAGTTACTTTGGATAAAAGCGTCAGCTAAATATGTAAATTTCTATCTTATACCAACCCTCATTTCAGCCTCTGCTTTAAATGCCCCTGCCTCTTTAAGCCTTTTCCTTGAAAACGTTTAATATTTTGGGAAGTGTTACGACCCTCGACCCTAAGGGTCATGTGTTTGGGTTGGGGTGTGTCTTGCTTCTCTCTCTCTCTGGCTCTTCCCCCCAATGCCTCAGCTGCAGGTTTGCCTGATCACCACTCAGTGCTGGAGGATAAGAAGGCTTGGTTTTTTCACAGCATGGTCTGTTTTCCCTTCCTACCTGTTGCAACCACAGGGCAGATCAGCACCTGTGAGCAGCCAGTGGGTTGAACACCAGCCTAGAGCTTTTGTGAGCCCAGAACAGTGTCTGGTTACCTCCTCAGTGAAGAGAGAGGACTTTAGTGAGTTTATTTAGTGTTTATTTTTGTCTCACCTCGCTCTCTCCTTTTGAGAGAGTAGTTTTGAGTTGGTTTTCCTTTGTCAGTATCGAGTAAATATACATTAGTTTGTACACAATCCTGACTTCCTGTCCTCTTTTGCCCCCATCTGGAGGAACGTAACAGAAAGTATTCAAAATCCTGAATAAAACTTAGGGACTCGTTAGATGCCTAAAAAAAACGTGACGGAGGAATAATAAAAGTAAAGAAGAAGATCACGATGACTTCGCAGTCCCAGCCAAATATAGTGAACAGCTGGCAGCTAGCTGGTGACTGTTCATTGTTTTTAGCATCAGTGTTCATTAGATTTCTTACCGTTTGGAAGCCCAAGTGTTTTTCCAGACAAAGTCAGCAGACAGAAACAGAAGAACAGAAGCTCCCGAGCTGTCGACTGCAATTTAAGATCATCCATGTTACCGAAAACGTTAAGTTTTCCTCACAGTGCTAGTTGGTTAGCTAGTTAGCTGAATTAGCTACCGTTAGCTGAGATGTTTGAAGTTACATGTCGTGAATAAAGTGACAATACGAAGCTTTTCAACACGTAAAGTTGGAAATATATTCACAGATTCGAACTTCCGGGATCAATAACTCGTAAGCAAAACGTGTTTAAAACACAAACAACGCCTCTTTACTATCGTAGTTAAGTAGACAAGGAGCAGAACAAATAACACGTCTCTACGTGCAGCGAGACGAGTGCGTCTATAAATAGCCGAAAACACACAGTGCAGAAATATTCAATAATTTCACACTTATACAATGTGGTGCCCCCAAAATCACCTTACACACTCATTATATACTACTGGTTATACTGCAACACTTAGTTTGGGGAATAAATACTTTTACATACATAATAATAGGTAGGCCTATTTTTAATATTCAATAACTTCACTGTTATAAGCTGTATTGTCTCCACAATCACCCCACAAATCACTGATCCTGCTTGTGATACTACACTTACTTTGTAGAAATGTAGTTTTGCATAATTTTGGAGAACTTTATTATACAAAAAAAATTCAATAACTTCCCTGTTATATGCTGTAGAGTCTTCAAAATGACCTCACACATAATCCTGCTTGTGATACTACAATACTTAGTTCATAGAAATATGTATAATTTTGGTGAATTTTATTTTCATCTTCAATGAAATTCAATAACTTCACTGTTATGAGTTGTAGTAGAACCCTAACCCACAATTATATTATACCCTAATATTTAGGCTACAGAAATGAAAATAAACCGTCTACAGGTATTTCTATTGCCAATTATTCTGTGCATCTCAGTGAAAAAAACACCATCATCTTAAAATTAGCATCAACTCCTCCTCAGCTGGTGAACTTGACCTACTTCGAGCTGTGTCTCTGTTTTGATGGGAGGGTGACCCACTTCAAGTCAGGAGGGCAGCATGTGCTTTGCCGATATTTGGCGCCATCTGTTGTTGTGGGTGTATAATAACATTTAAATTGCTGGACCCTTGACTGGCCTGCACAGAGTCCTGACCCCAACCCGACAGAAAACCTTCGGGGTGAATTAGAGCACAGACTGCGAGCCAGGCCTCCTCGTCCAACATCTGTGTCTGACCTCACAAACGAGCTTCTAGAAGAACGGTCACAAATTCCCATGAACACACTCCTAAACCTTGTGGACTGCCTTCCCAGAAGAGCTAAAGCTGTTATAGCTGCAGAGGGTTGACCAGCTCCATATTAATCCCTACCGATTAAGAATGGGATGTTATTAACCTTCATGTGCATGTAAAGGCAGGCGACCCAAAACTTTTGGTAATATAGTGCATCTTCATTTGGCGACGCCTTCAACTGCAGACCGCTACATTCCTCTTGACCTCCCTCATGCTTGTTTGCTTGCCCATACCTCTTGTGTGTTTTGTGTAAGTTGTGTATGTTTCGTAACTGTAATTGTATGTTATGTAAACCAATGCAAACCATAAAACTATTTCCCATTGGGGATGAATGAATTCTATCCATCTATCAAGGAACATATACTCTAAAAGTACTTTTACTTTCTTTACATTTTGCTAACTATGCTGGGGTGATGATTGCGCAACGGACAAGACGCCTATGGCAAGCAGTTTTAACATTTATTCCATTTATTCGCTATTTAAAAGCGACTAGTAACTAATCCATTAGATACTAGCAACAATTTCTTATATACTGGTAACTATTCCTTTAAAAACTAGTGCTTATTCTTTAGTTACTAACTACTCACAGATTTTTGCCATTGAAATGAATGGGGCTCTGCAGGTCAGATATCATCTTTTCATTAGTAACTAGTAACTGTTCGAATAGTAACTGTTAACATTTTACTAGTATCTATTATTTAGTCACTAGTACCTATTCATAGTTACTAGTACTTATTCGAATAGTTAGTATTAACTATTTTTAGTTTAATAGTATGTATTATTTAGAGACCTATTTTTTAGTTACTAGTACTTATTCCATACTAACATTTTAATTATTTTAGTAAGAATGAAATAGTTACTAGTAACTAATAAATAAGTACTAGTATCTAAATCCTCATTAATATTTATTGGGTTTCTATGTAGTGCATGTAGCTGTAGTGTAAACTGTTACTGTTGTTGCTTTCAACAGATGCAGAAATGTTTATTATGGCTACGAGATGTTTCTAACATGTCATAATTCTGACAGACGTGTTTCTGTAAAGTGAAGATGTCTGTAACCTTTCTGTGGTGCCGTCAGCTGGTCTACTCCTCCGACAGAGATCATTGCAGCAGGTTGTAACAAAACAATGTACAGATGATGCAGCTGTGTCATGTTTCTTTATTTAATTGGTGTCGCTTTAAAATGAAGGCTCCAAGCCAAGGATGTCAACTTCATGTTGTTTCCTTGGTAAGAGGGACTAAATCTGACCCCTTAACCCTGTGCCAGACACAGCATTATACCTCTCTGCTCTCAGTGAAACTACACAGAGTAAAGGTAAATAAGAATGGGTGTGAACTTGATTTACTGAATCTGACACAAAGGAGAGATCATTTAGTTAGAAGGCACTAGAGGGCGCCACGTTGTTGAGAATGGAGATTAAGGGTGCGGTTCGTTTTGGTTGGCGTTGACGCTGGACTCGAACTCTGGTGCGGACAGACCACCTGGTGAAGTCTGAAACGGTTTATATCAATTGATTTTAAGATGTTAAAATAAAATTTGTCTTGAAATACTCTGCACCATTAGGAATGTTTGTGAGACATTGATGCTTTTATTCAACAGCTGAAAGTAGATGACAGGAAATGAAGTGTGACATGAAGGCTCCAGTGCAAAAACACACAGAATGAACTTTACAGTGAAACAGAGATCTCACATCACGAAGTGAAACTATTTAAATGACAAACATATAATTTTTAACCAGGGAATTTAACCTCATCACACATAATTATTCTCACTTTTATATGACTTAAAACACAAGCTAGGGGATCTATAAATCAGCTTTGAAAATGTTTTAAAGAAATTAATTTAACATGTTTGACCTCAACAAAACACAGTGGTTTGTTAAAAAATAATTAGTCAGTCAAATTTCAGACTTCATTTCATTTAAGAAGTGACTTAAGAGTAAAAAATAAATCTTGTCTCAAAGCTGTGCTTAAAAGTTATCAAGCATGATAGTCCTAATTTGAGTGAAGTGTAGGACTAAATCTTAAGTGTCAGTCTTAGAGCTGATTTGCGACACTTTGCTGCGCCGCAAACAGGATTTTGGATGACGATGTAGCCAAGGACCAATCACTAAAGAGATTTCCTTATTTAAGAATATTCTCAGATAAATTCACATTGAATGGTGAAATTCCTAAGAGGAGTTTATATTCAACACACATTTAACAATAAATACATAACGATATGGGCCTACACACTAATAAATGAAAGATAAAAAAGTTTATCTTGTGTAAAGTCAGTGATGAGACCAACTCGCTGACATAGTTTATGCCTGCACTGTCCTACCCCGTCTTATTAACTGCGCGTCGTCAAATTCTTCAAAAATTCTTCCTCTTCTGAAAGATTTGTGCATGTCTCTGTCACAGTGCCATCACAAGCCCTACTGGCAGCTCCTAAACACTTGAGAGACCTCTCGAGCTGTCTTAAATAACTGGGAGAGTAAGAGTGATCCTTAGCTTTGAGAAATTTGATAACTTGCTTTTATTCTTAAGTTTAAAAGTAGGAGTAAATTTCATGAATTCTCAGCACTTAAGACTAAAATGGCACTTTGAGAAGCTTGATAAATACCGGCCCTGAGCAGCAGCTGATCGAAGCAAACAAAGGCTGCAGACTCAGTGTGATGTAAAGTTTAACCAAAGGAGTTTTTCCAGCTGACTGGAGGACACAGAGACCGAGTAGTATTCAATATTTCAGTAGGAAGAAAGCAACGTTCAGGAAACATCAGTATAATAGAAATAATCCTGTACTGTGATCCCCAACATGATGATTCATTCCCCAGAGGTTCCCGGGCTGAGAAACACTGCTCTGAAGGGTTTTAATCTGACATGGAAAGGTTTGGAAATCTTGGATTTCTTTATTGAGACTTATTTAACACAGAAACCAGGTCTGATGGCAGCATGGAGGTCCAGAGAAGAACAGTCACAGATCCTGGATTCACTTGTGACGTCTGAAACTGTTTCAAACACGTATTAAACTGCAGGCTGCACAACTTTGATAAGTAAAAGATCCCATACAGACGTGTTTTAGGACATAATATCTAATTTAAAGTTCAATGAGCTTGGTAAAAAAAAAGTTAAAACTACACCTACTAGGTACTGAACTTGGTATAGGTTTGTGCACTATGTTCACCTGGGAAGAAAGTTATTCACATTACAAGATACAAACATTTGACCAACAAGTAGCCTGTCTGAACACTGAGTTTTCAAGGTGCTGTGGCTGCACCCTCACAAACACCTGAGAAACCAATCATAGAAATATACAAACGTACAAGGCTAGACACAAAAAGCTATTAGAGAATAAGATATACAGAGTTTGCTCTAATGTTAAATTATTTTATTTTTCAAGCATCAGTCATATCAAAAGCATTAAACACTTCACATGTTCACTGAACATAAGCTTCAACGATCAGAGTCAGTAATACAAAAGTCCAAAAAGCTCCTTCAGCCGACAAAAAACTGAAGACTCGCTCTCTGGTGTCCAACGCAACAACGCAAACAGAACAGAAATAAACACGTCCATCCTTCAATAATTTCTAGCCAATGTACCTTTTTTTCTAAAAATAAAACCAGCAGCGATTCAGTAGCGCACAGAAGATAGAGCGCTGTCTGCCTGTCTGTTCACATGAGGAGCTCAGAGAGACCCAGCGGATCCAAGAGAGTACGCAGGCAGAGAGTCGCTCCCCGTCTGAAAAGGCCTCGAGACGGGCCTGATGCGTGGAGTAAAAACGTTTTCTGTATTGGTGGTCAAGTAGACAATTAACGGGAAGCCAAAACGGCCACCAGGAAATCTCCCGGTGCTCCTGGGGGCCAGTCCGCTAGTCTACATACCTTTCTAAAACAAGTAAACTCCAATAACAAACAAAAGTTCAGTCCCCTCCCACGTTTAGCTGCCCACAGATCGTTTCACACCGGGGACGAAACCAAAAAACTAAATGAGGAATATTCATTGATTATTTTTCCTGTTACACAAACATTCAAACAAACAGCTGCAGAAAAAAACCTCCTGCAGCGTCTGAAAAAGTTTCAGGCTTTGTGTTTTGGGCTCATAGAGATAGATGGGTTCAATTATTACCAACTTATTCAGACTAGTAGAACTTTTAACCAAAAGAAAACAGTATCAAACATTAACCTGAATTTCCTCTACAAAGGATTAATAGAGGTTTATCTTATACTACAGCTCAAGCTTTTGTAGAAGTTTGAAGGCACTACATGGTTGAGGTACAATTACATTACTGCATTTAGCCCATGTTACAGATTTTAATCTGAGAACCAGATCTGGGATCTGCTGGTTTAACAAATCACCTGATTAATTAGGGTATCTGTTCTTTTTGGTTTTAGCCCCTGACCTGTTGGATATAAATATTTGGATTTGATCAATTCTAATACTTTTATCAGGTCGCTCTTTTTAAAGCTCTGTTATGTTGGGATATGTATGTAGCTTCCTCCTTTTATTTAGGTGCTATCATGTCTTTAACAACAGTGTGAAAGAGGCAAGAGGGAACCCTCCTTAAACCTGAATACTAGATCAGCACTCCAGTTACTGCATGAAGAAGTCTGATTGTATAGAACTCTATATGAAAATGACCCAACTTGATTTATTACCTCAGTAAACACTTTCCTGATGAGTGAAAATATGATCACTTCTGTTTCTAACATGTAAACATTTAGCTGATGCTTTTATCCAAAGTGACTTCCATTTGTTAGTTTGTTATATATGTCAGAGGTCGCACGCCTCTGGAGCGACGAGGGGTTGTGTGTCTTGTTCAGGGACACAGTGGTGGAATCGGACCTGTGTCTCTCACACCACAGGCATGCGTCTTGTCCACTGCCCCATCGCCTCCCCAAACAACCCTCTAAACAACCAAGATGGCGACGGCCAATATGCCAAATTTGAGCCAAAACGTTAGTCCACAAACCAGCAGGTGACGTCGTGGTGTCTTTATCCACTTCTTTCTACAGTCTATGGAGAGAGGAGAAAATACAAATGAGATACGATGATAAAATTAATCAGAGCAACATACAGGGTTCAGAAATGTTTTGTGATCTTAATCAAACAGTTGTTAACATTGTTGAGCTGCAGAGACCTGAGATTAAAAACTGAAATAAAAACAGCCTTTGTGAAACTTGTTTCATCTCCACTGATCTCTTGTCAGTGGTGTTGACTGTTCAGGAGGCTGCAGACTGTGATTATTGGAATCTGTATTTTGAACTGTGTAAGTCTAACCAACAACTGACCATAACATGCTTCACATAGATCTCTTCTAAGGCTGTAGATATTTACAATTAAATCTTTAGAAACATCCGGATTTGCCAATAAACTGCACATGAAGGGTAACTTCAGTATTTTTAAACCTGTTTTTCCATGTTTTTGTGTCTGTGTGACTAATGAAGACAAAACTGACTCAGGCTCAGATTATTATTAAAAGCGTCTGACAACATTATGGAAAGGATCCACACAGAGATCGACCTTTTTTTGTAGTAAGGTCCTTTTTGTTCAACCAGAAACAGCCGATATTGTTCTGTTCAAAGCCACCAAGACTCCATTAACAAAAACACTACTTTTACTAAAGTTACCCTTTAAAAAGGATATTTGAACTCAACTGCCAAACAACAGACTGAGCTTCTTGCTGATCATTAATAGCTGCAAGCATGTAGGCCTGGGGCTGACTGTGAAAGTATCAGGCATGTTTGTCTTATAATTATAGTAATTAGGTTATTATTATTATTATTATCAACGGTCGCTGTCTGTTGCGACCTGTTCTTTCTTTTCTCCGTGAGAGGGAAGAATTTAGAGAGTTGCTTGGCGCTGCGGAGAGCCCCCAGCTGTGCGTGGATCATGCGTAATATTCATCCAGCCAGAGGGATGAGCGTACTAGCGACACACACACCCTGTACCAGAGAGGAAGTGGGGCGCTGCAGTGTACCGCAGCGGGAGATCGCGGAGCAACTGGTCTGCTGTGGACGGTCGGTGATCGTTCCCTCTGACTAGATGAAGTCTGACGCGCCGCATCCATGATGATAGAGAAATATAGAGATTAACGTCGATAAAGCATGCTGTTAATATTTTAACAGCAATATCACAAATCATGCTTTTAGGGGAGCTGATGTCTTATTAAGAGGAACTAAGCTCCCCCATAGTTTGCACCCTGGTTATTACCTACACAAAACAACTACTGAGGCGGCTCCTAAAACATTTAAATAACACCGTGAACATGCAAAACTATTTGAAGATAAAACCACGAAGATGAATCTCACCTGGCACAGTGATGTTAACTATTGATCGTAGGTTTGTTTCGGTCTTCTTCACAGTAGTTTGGAGGGTGATGTAGAAGCTGCCTCCTCTTTCTGAGACCTGTGGCTCCTCAGCAGGAAGTTTGTTTCCAGCACTGTCCTGCCACTCTACTGTAGGTTTAGGAAAAGCACCAAGAACGTCACACTGCAGCAGGACCCCAAACTCTGTGACATCAACTATCATGATGGACGGCTCTGCAGCTGCGCCTGTGATCTTAGTGATGAAGAATAGATATAAACAGTTAGAGCACTAGAAACGTAGTTTTCATTCCTTCCCTCTAAAACATTCAGTACAGTGTGCAGAAGAGAGAGAAAAACATTTTACTAACTATTCATCTATTAGTCCCACTTATCACTGTACAATGAATATCTTTGGGTTTTGGACTCTTCATTGAACAAAACAAGATATTTAACGATGTCACCGTGGGTATATTTCACTATTTTCTGACATTTGTTGTGATGTGTAGCGTGCAGTGATAGAGTTTAACAGTTAAACAACAGTTTAAAAGGCGACCTTTTAAAGAGTCCGACCTTAAAGACACATCAGGAGAAATAAGTCACTGATCTCTACATCGGCAACTAGTGTGCTACAACATAGTCACCTTTGTGGTGTATGACATATTTGTTTTCTAGTAGGTTATTTCATTATTTCATTTAATGTAATCTGCTTCAGTCTCCATCTTATTTTAGTGTTTACTCGCCAACTGAATCTGCTCCCTGTCTCTTCACGTGTTTCCTACACACAAACCATCACCTCTGCTTTCTTACTGTAAACCCAACCGGCCTGCTTCGCCTCCCTCTCTCTCTCTCTCTCTCTCTCTCTCTGTCTCTCTCTGTATGTGTCTCTGTTCCCGTTTTCACAGCAGCAGGATTGAAAACAACATGATACTGAGTGACATCTGCACTGGTGCATTCACTGTCCCTCTTTAATGTAAAATTGTACCAGAAAACATCTCTCTCTGCGTTTCTCTGCAAAATGCTAAAATGTGTCGCCAAATATACTTTGGGAGCTGTTAATACATCAGAAAAGCATTGTGGGAAACGCTGTATTTATAGTTAGGGCAGAGTGTCACGTGACTCTTTTGGTCCAGTCATGATTCAGTGATCAAAAACTGAACCATGGCTCAAAAATCGAGGTCTGAACCGAACATAGATTTGTAGAATCGTTACCCCTATTAAGGTCACAGCACGGGTCTAAGTGTACGTTTAACAGGAAATAAACTTGAAGCCATTTTACTGTTTCTGTTTGAATCAGTGAAATAGTCTGTAGAAGCTGAGCTGCTGGACTAAAGAACCACGTCAAGTATCTCAGAGTGAACTTTGTGTGTTTGTGTCCCAGAATCAGCTGATAATCAGCAGATGTAGTGATCAGTAACATCAACATCAGGCTCTTGAAACATTGGGGGTTTAGCCCAGCCCAGAAATCTTTCATGTTTTCACCTGTTTTCACTCCCTGTTGCCGCCTAACCAAAGTACGTCTGTACAGCAACAGTAAATGACCTCTACACAGTAACTCTAACATCTGTCTCTTTTTCTGATAATAATTAACACTGATAATATTAACTCGGGGGGGTCCTCCCCCTGAAAAATTTGGGCTTTAAACACTTGGTGAATTTTTTTGCACCACTTTATTGAGGAAATGTCTGCGGTGACAATTCAGTAAGGCTCTCAGGCGTTCTGTATTGCTCTCAAATGTTTCTCCTGTAGATCAACTGTAATCCCAGCTGAGTCTACAACCATGCAGGCATGACAGAAGTAGCCTAAGTGTTTTTTAATGTGCATATGGCACCTTTTCATCTTAATGATCAATTAGCTTATTTAATTTGAATTTAGTTTTTAAAAACATATTGATGAAATGTTTGATGTCTTGGGCTCCTCCCACTTAAGATTTTGAGTATTAAACACTTAATTTCCTGCATGACTTCTGGAGACATTTTCTGCACCCATTTATGGTGGAAATGTATTTATTTTATAAAGGGAAGGACAAAATTTAGGTGGCAGGTGACAATTCAGAATATAAAAATATAATAGAATGTAATGCAGTAATCAGTAGCTTGTTCTTTTTCTCAGAGATTTATTCTATATTTACACTGCATTACAGGCTTATTGTGCAAATAAACCTCTCATAGCAATTTTATTTGTTAATTAACATTTCTTGGTGCAAGATATTTTTCAGAACATTTTTTACAAATGCTTTCAAAAAGTGGTGGCTACCTGTCCCCAGTGTAAATGACGCTCCCTCCCTACAGGTTGAGCTACTCCATGCTTAGCAACAACTTCACCTCCACTCTCCTCCTGCTCCTCCTGCTCCTCCTGCTCCCTCCGTCCCGCCGCCCTGTCACTTTGTCCCTCTGTTTCGCACACGTTCAGGATGACTTCACTGTGCACAGCAGTTGTACTAAACTGTGATAAGGCATTGCAATTTAAGGAGCTCACGATGCACCACGCTGTCTCTGAGTCTCTGTCTAAAATACTCCCCAACTTTAGATGGCGAGATTTATTAGCTGCAGCTTGTTCTCCCTGACGGGCGCAGCACTTCGTTACTATGCGGTGATGCATGTTGTGCAAATTGTTGTGTTAATCGATTACGTTGATGAGTTGCGCAGATACACCGATAGTTATTACCAAGCTACTACCTGGTTATTACTTTGCTTATTACATGGTATTACTTCATTATTACCTCTTTATTATCAACCTATTACCACATTATTTTATTATTAAGTGTATTCAGTAATTTTAAAAATCAGGACATAACAGCGCAGGAAGTTTGCTTTTATAAATACACTTCACAGAAGTAAATAAATCATTTAAATGGTGGTCAGTATCAGCAGACAGGCAGAATATTCAGGACTTTAGTTTACAAAGAAGTGACTGATATTCAAAGATCTGTTTAAAAAAAACTTAATCAGACATTTGAGGAAATCCAAATGTAGAAACATGTATGTATTTATAACTTTCTATATTTATTTCAAACAATCAGAATGAGAACCAGAGGCCTCATCAACAAATAAAGGCTCAGTGAATTTTTTAATGAATTTTGGCACTGTGCTGTATGTCATCCTGGCTCTTCACCTGTTTCCCTGTCTCTCTACAGCTGCTCCAATAAAGGCAAAAAGAATGAGTTTAATAAAAAAAAATGAATATCTTATATCTAAGAAAATGAGACCATCATGACGTGAGACGGTTTCTATTAAGTATCTGTGATGTACATGATGAATATGTTGATACAATCCATTTTATAAACTCACCTTTATTACGGCGTACTGTGATGAACTTTGTAGCTACAAGCAAAGCTAGAACTGCAACAACAATTACAGCTCCCAAAATGATTCCACCAAAAAACCACCGTGTGACGTCCCCTTTGCTGAACAGTTTCTCTGAAACACACAACAAAACCTAGAGTCACACTCAGAATGTAAACTGTATATCATGTACAGCACACTGGTTAGTTTCACCAACAGTTTAAAAGGCTGATGTGTCGTTTACATCGTGACCCACAGAGTCCGACCTTAAAGACACATCAGGAGAAACTAGTGGAGAGTCTTGATTCTGACGTCACTGATCTCTACATCTGCAATGTCTGTGCTACAACTTAGTACCGAGCCAACACAACATTTTCGGATGCTACATCAGCTTTAACTGATCAAACAATGTCTTTTCAGATAGAGCTGTAGATCTAGCCTAAAATATATCAGATCAACACATATTTATATCTTTTTTTTTTTTGCAATCAGCATGTTATTCCAAACAGCCATAACATTATGACCACCTGCTGGTCATGTGTGCTTCCCCTTTTGCAGCCTAAATAAAATGAAAACTAATAACACAGCGATCGAAATACAAAAATAACACTACGATGAATCTCACCACAGATATACACGTAGATCTCAGTATAAATCTGATGTCTGATCTCCTCCTGTGTGGCTACACAGCGATAGTTGTCGGTCTTCATCACAGTAGTTTGGAGGATGATGTAGAAGCTGCCTCCTCTTTCTGAGACCTGTGGCTCCTCAGCAGGAAGTTTGTTTCCAGCACTGTCCTGCCACTCTACTGTAGGTTTTGAAGAAGCACCAAGAACTTCACACTGCAGCAGGGCCACGTCCTGCGTTTGATTAAGTGTCTTGACATACGGCTCTGGAGATGCTCCTGTGAACACAGTAAACAGACACATCAGCTATAAAAGGACAATAACAGGATTATAAATGTAACACTGTGATGTTTCTTGTTTGTCTCTTCTCTGCTTGTAAATGAGGATTAAAGTGTTTAACAGAAAAACACAGAGGAACAGAAAAGCACAGTATCAGCCTCAGTTGCTCCTCCCAGCATTGTTAGATAGGACATGTATTTCAAACATTTCTAACTTCTACCAAAAGTCTGGAAACTAAGCGTCGCCTCATGTCTGTAAATAGGACAGTATAACGTAGTCCAGCACAACAGCACCTTTAACTATGAGCTCAGTAACAAAATGTAACTGAATTACATGTTTCAGACAAAATCAACAAAAACTGAACATTATAATTTGTAAAGGCTGAATTTATAGCAGAGCGTGTATTGAATTGTAACAGACTGTTTAGGGTACATCATCTTTTGTCAATTTAAATATAAAACACAAAGTTTCAAAAGTATGTAAACCCAAAGTGTGTACATTTTGTCATTGAGAAATATCTTGTGCCA